AAAGGCCGTTGCCGACCATCGGAAATACAGAAGTAAGAACAAGTTCAGAGGGAAGCGGCGGAGGACGTACAAGAAAGCCACCGCCAACGAAAATGTCCGCGACGGGCCAGCGGCCGGTAGGCCTAACATCGACCACGGCAACGTCGACCATGGCAACTGCGACGACGAGATCAACGCTGCAGTGAATTTTGTGAGTGCATCGCAGAAAAAGATCGCGTTATTCGAAAACGACGTCAGGCCGAATGCCGATCGTGCCGAAAGCGTAGTGCTGTGCGAGTTGGGTGCATTGACGGCCGTCGTCGCAGGCGCGGCATGCCCCGTTTGTCACGAGAGTAAACTCGCAGTTCGGGCACCGAATAAAAAGCGGAAAGGCCTTTCGGCGTTTCTGGAGCTACACTGCGAGAATGCGGAGTGCTCGGAGAGCATCCTTTCGTCCGCGTACTCGTCGAAGCGGGTCGCGTCAGATGGCGGCCGCGGTGCAAGCAGAAGCTACGACAGCGGGAGTTCGCGTGACGCCTTTGCCGTGAACCTGAAAGTGGTGCTTGCAGCGCGTGCCGTCGGTATCGGGCATGAGCAACTTTCACGATTTTGTGCAGTAGTTGGATTGCCAAACCCTATGCACCATAAGACCTTCCATGCTATCGGCAAAAAGATTCACAGTGCGGCAGTGAAGGCTGTCTGTGAAAACATGCAAAGGGCACGCAGCGTCACCAAAGAGGTGGCTGGTAACAGTGACGTGCCAGTCATGTTTGACGGCACATGGCAAAAAAGAGGCCACAAAAGCCACAATGGTGTGGGAACTGTAGTGTCCTTGGACACTGGTTTGTGCCTGGACTATGAAGTGCTTTCCAACTTCTGCCTGGCGTGCAGTTTGCATAACGACATGGGAGGCGATGAAGAAACATGGCAGGCGTTTCATCATCCCGTTTGTGAGAAGAATTGCGACTGTTCTTCGCATGCCATGGAGGCCGAAGCTGCAGTGCGCATTTGGCAGAGGACTGTGGACTATGAGACACCCCTGCGGTTCACCATCTTCCTAAGCGATGGAGACAGCAAGGCCTACAACGGGGTCTGTGATGCCAACGTGTACCCTGACACTCCAATTGAAAAAGAGGAGTGCACCAACCACGTGGCGAAACGTCTGGGCACCGGCCTGCGGAAGCTGCCAACGCCACTTCCACGAGGGGAGAAGCTGAAGGAGACCACCATCCAGAAGCTTCAAACTTACTTTCAGGTGGCCATTGTGAACAATCGGGGAAATGTCCACAAGATGTACACTGCCATATGGGCCTCATGTTTGCACTCGTGCTCAACAGACGGTGCTGGAAGTCACAAGTTCTGTCCTGCAGGCCCAGACTCGTGGTGCAAGCACCGACGTGCTGAGGCGCAGGGCCAGCCTGCACCGTGCCACACCCCCCTCCTGACCAAGGCCCAGGGTTTGGCAGTCCTCCCAATCTACAAGCGTCTCACAGATGCGAAGCTGCTTGCCCGGTGCCTCCACGGCAAGACACAGAACGCGGCCGAGTCCCTGAACAGCAAAATATGGCTGCTGTGTCCAAAGACCCGGTTTGCTTCCCGGACTGCTGTGGAAACAGCCACAGCCATTGCAGTCCTGTGGTTCAACCGGGGCCACGCGAGCTTTGAAAAGGTGCTGGAAGAGCTTGGGGTGCTTCCTTCGGAGGCCCTGGTTACCCTCAGCGACCGCCGAGACAGCATGCGCATGCACAAGATGAATGTGCGTCAGACCGCTGAGGCGAGGGCACACCGTCGCAGTGCAGCCAAGAGGGCCCGGGTGGAAGAGTCCTGCCGCACCAGCCGGGAAGGGAAAACCTACGGTGCTGGAGAGTTTTAGACAACTGATATTCCCTCTGGACATGTGTGTATGTGTTCAGCACAAGTTTCGTGCTACTGCGTTTTTCATTTTTGTAAATACAGACTTTCAAACTTTCAAACGCGTTTTTCTCATTTCGCAATTTTGGCCAATTTGCATTTTTTGCGGGAAGTGTTTCGGGCACTTAGAATGGTCATACGACGACGAAATTTGGCACACACATTGAGGAGAGTGCGTAGGGTGCCGATATCTACTTGAATCAGCACAACCTATCAGCTGTAAATATCTATTAATAAATTTAATGGTGGTCGAGTGGAAAAAAAAGGGTAGTTTGCTACACAGATGTTTTTTTCATAGTTTCAAAGTTGGAGCACAATTTCTAGCTAGATATCGGCACTCTATGGCTAATAGGGAGCAAAAGGAGCCATTGAACAACTCTCTGCATGAACATTTAGTATGCGCGAAAGTTCCCGGAAAACTTATCAAGTTTCACCATTACTTGAAACACAACTCCCAAACTATTGCACTTATGTAAAAACTGATTACAGATTTGGAATCAGGAGGAAAAACTGCATCAGTGGTCCAATTTCTGAAGCTCTAAGTTGAATAACAAAAAAAAAGTGCTTTCGAGGAGCGTCTCCCCTTAATAAGAAAGACTTGTGCTCTAAATTCTGCTCCCATACTTGCATTCTATTCCCGCACAGGTTTCTATTGCAAAAAGAATTATTGTTGCCCCCGCCCTACCAGCAGAGACAGCAAGGCCTACAAATTGAACAGTCGTAAATTTACTTTTTTGAGAAAAATGGAAAAAACTGATAACACCCCGTTTCTTCAAAAAGCACCAATCACGGTGTGCATGTTTTGCAATGCCCATAAAGGTGCTCATTAATTGGTAGTAGAGCTTCAGACACAGGTCCTGGCAAATTATGAAGAAGCCTCGAAATAGGTTCCCCATTTTTTGCAGGTTCTGCATTGTGCTTGCACCAAGAATCTGGACAGGCAGAATGACATTACCAAAAAATTACCACATCCTGGTGGGTGAAAATTTGTATAGAGATTGTGGGGTCACGATGTGGCGAGCACCACCGCTCTTGGAGTGAACGGACACAGCAGATGCAGTCAGAACAAACCAAACCAAACATACATTTATTTAACTAATTTAGAACGATGATATCGTCAGCCGAATAATTATAACATGAATCGTGATCAACACACGCTAGGACATCCTTACACAACATTACCATACACTAAAAAACATGACAAACGCAATAACACACCCAAGGCGGCGTCGCCAACGCTTGACTTACCACGAGGGCTCCCGACGCGCAACCGGGGACCCACGCACCGGAAACCCACGCTAGAGAAAACCGTTCGCAGCAACCGCCTCTTGCAGAAAAGAACTGCTTATTTGTTGCGCGCCGCCACCAAGGCTTGCCTGCCGCCAGGGGTCACTGCCGGCACTACCGCTATAATAACCACGATGATGATGATAGCGGTGATCACCGCTCCCGTACACAACGCCACCCATCGCTCAACAGCCGTGACTCCGAAATGCGACCTCTGCGCGAGACACCTGCACCACGCGGCGCAAACAACTTTACAGGAAAGTAGCAGTACCCCTACAAGATAGAAAAATACTTGCAGAAACCAAATTTGCCAATTTTTAAAGATGCATTTTTTGTCACTTTTCAGTCCCAAAGACCAGTCAACAAACTGTCCCACTAGTGCTTCAAACCTGACAGTTCACTAAAAAATAGTCTGTCATCTTTTCTTGCTGAACTTGGCTGGGGCCAGCAAGTTTTCCAAGCACTAATCATGTCGAAGCGGTCTTTCAGCATTGTCTTCGTCAACAAAACATGGAAACCACAGCGCAAGATGAAGAACTGCAGCAACATCGGTAGTTCTCAGTGTCGGCTTGTTTCTATGTCGGCGTTTAATAGCCGAACTACCAGCACAATTATTCCGTTTGTTACTGGACCGCATGTTTCTACGATGTAGTCCACAGCAACGAATTTTTCAAAAGAGGCGTCACTAAGAACGGCCCCAAAACTACCATCGTTGAGTTCACCTGTTTGCACTTGATGAAACTCGCGAGGGAATTGGGCTTAGCGTCACACGTTCGTGTGATATCTTGCTTGACGATGCCTCCCTGGTGAACTTCTTCCAAGACATTCCACTTTCGTTGCCAGGTCAAGCATTTGATAGGGGCCGCAAGTTCCCATTGTCAAACGTCACCACCACAACTCTCAAAATCAGCTGTGGAAACACGTTCTAAATCAACCCACAGTGTGTTGGTGAGCTAGTTTATCATGCTGTGTTTGAACAGTGAAACACGCTAACACACACAGTGCTGTGCACGTGTTTGAGCGTTCTTTTTTACTAGTGTCCAGTTGTGCTGCTCTAACTTCAACCAGACTTCAACCAAGCGCGCGGCTGAAGCACTGGACACATCACAACGAAAGACCCAGTTAGACGATGTGATTGATGCAGTACCCCGGCATTGACTAAACAAGGTGGCGACTTCGTGAACCCTATCGCTGCAGGAAGTGGCGATGGCGACAACAGCACGGTCCGACAGCTGTCTTGGCACATAAAAAATTCATAACTTCATAGAAGAATTACAGTCGCTTCGAGGCTCTCGACTGAAGAACTTATAATTAACCAACATTATGGGCTCTTAACTTTGAACTATCGAGCATTTTTTCCTATAGGCGTGCATGCAAAATTGATGGGACCACTTGTTGACGTTTTGTTACCTGGAAATTCCAATTAAGCAGTTTCAAATTACCAGGAGTCGACTGTAATTGCAGAGTTAGCTGTATTTGCCAGTGTAACGCAATGCTGCTGTTCGACATACAGCATAGACAAAACCCAAAGCATTATAAAAAACAAACTGTTAAAAAATATAAACCAGATTTGGGTAAATATTTCTTTTCTTCATTTTTGAATTAATTTCAAGACAATGTCAAAATCAACATTCATCGACATTTTATGTATAGCCACAGTTACGTGATAGCTTAATTTTTGTTTTCGATAGTTTGTGCACATCTTAAGGACACGATGGATTTGTTTTCTAAAGTTTTACACGTCATTAGACTAAGTACAGTTCTGAGTATGTAGTTGATTGCCCTTTATATACTGAGTGCATAATGCTACATTTCTATCTTACCAAAGACGACCATAATGATCTGGTTGAGGATGCGATGCACCGCAAGGCGCAAGCAGCACCAGAAGGATTTGACAGCTTGGTTAGCCTCCAAGGAGGACACGTCACTGGGCAAAGTGTAGGTGCGCAGCAACTGCCCACCAGAATCGAGGAGCCTGCAGCACATTTCACTGGTCAAGACCTCATCAAGAAAGAGGTTTTATTTCTGACCATCGTAAACAAGTCGATATGATACTTCATGATGAAACAAGCCCAAAAATACACACACTCAGAGAGGACACAGACAAGCGCTAGTCTGTGTCCTCTCTCAGTGTGTGTATTTTTGCGCTTGTTTCATCATGAACCTTTACCAACACGCCCAACTGGCAGTCATCCTAAATGTGATACTTCTTTACTTCCCATTCCTTGTGTACCATTTCTACAGCTACCTTTTGCGACCGACACACTGTATAGCCTGGAGTGATGTCAGCACAAGTGACAATTTAACAACTTAAATAATCTGTTTAACCATGATTGACATCACACAAAAACAAGCACATGTGCACACTTTGCATTTTTCCTGAACTCCTAGAGAGGTAAAAAACTAGTACAAGTCCTCAAAACAAGACATTACAGAATCAGTGCACTGAGTCTCCTCCAGAAAGAAATGAAAGCATGGGAGCAGCAAACAAACGAGCAGTGAGGTAGTCTATCTGAAAGTATCGCTGCTCTATCACCTTCCAAGAGGATAATGGCCTACTTTACATCCAGTAGGGTTTAGCTGCGCTAATAAAACAAGGACACAAAGAATGTAAAGGTACAGCACGTGCGCACACCCACAACCATAACTCAATAAATTTTAGTTGTGAGTCTGTGCATGTGCTGTCATTTACTTACGTTGTGTCGTTGTTTTATTTGCGCAGTTAGAATGAACATTTAGCTAGTAGCCAAACTTGGTGTTCTCCTTTAGGTTTAAGTTTGTCTATTGAGGAAGCATTAGCGCAGAGTAATTTTCTGCTAAAATGCCATTTTGAAGCGATTTCGTGCCACGTACCGTGCTTAAGTTTGGCACACTTAGCAACTGAAGTTTTACATAGACAACTCAAGATAGGAGAAAAAAGGCACTCGTCAGAGTATCTTACCTGACTCCCCAGGCAGGATTCTCAAACAAAAGCAACAAGCTGTTCCCAAAGGCAGTGTCCTGCACAAAAGAAAAACAAAAAGAAGAAGAATAACAGACAGGCTGTCAACATTCTCAGCATTGTTTAAAAAAAAAGGCAGGAAGGGAAGACTGGAAGCTCTTAAGAAATTCGTGAACAGGATGTGCTGGAGTCAACATTTTGACTTGTCTTCTTAAAGGCTGCAAACTTCTAAGCATGCTAAAAGAAGACGTGTCAAAGCGTCGACCCCAGCAAACCACATTTACAGATTCTTCATCAGCATTGTTCAGTAACATTAAGCTTCACTATATATTCCTTATTTATCATAAGGAATATACAGTTGAGCCCACTTACACGATCCCAGATGTAACGATCTATCCATTATAACGACCATATTTCATCACACTTCCAATTTTTTTACGAGTCCACATATAGCAAACATTTTTCAAAGCCTCGTACTTTTAAAATGAACGTTTCAGAAATGGTAGCGGTGAAAATATTGCTCTTTCAAAGTGACAAAAAAGTTAAAACAGGCATTCTAAAGCATGAGAGAGGCGTCTCTGTGCACAGAAGAGTGTACACAAAAGCGTGTGGCAGAATCAACTCGCCTTCCGAAAATAATGTCAGTACCTTTTTGTGTGTACCTTGAATACTCTTACCACAGTTTTCAGTCATTTCAAGGGACCATGACAGCATTGGCTTAGACATTTAACTTCTCCTTACACCAACAAAGCAAGGCTAAGTACTAATCTGAATATTAATATGGACTCATTTGATGACCTTTGGTAATGTGCAACAAATGCAGGAGAGTACAAGCATGCGAAAACACTGCAGAACCTATCCCGACCAATGAAGAGTGAAATGGTCTACAGTGCAAGCAAACAACATACAGTGATGGGCTCCACACTGTTGGCTCGCAGAAATTCCAAACAGGATGCAGCTGTGAGAGAGCGATATGGTGCCTGTCCACACTCGTAATTTCCTACGAGAGAATCAAAATGGTTTTCAAATCCCAGTTTACTTAATGATGAAAAAAAAAAAAAATACATAACCCATTGACTATAACTGCCTCAATACCAAAAGATAACAAAAAAACTAGGAAGCTGCTATATCAAACATATATTTTGCATCTCACCTGCAGTCTGGCCCAAAAGTTTCTGCATCCGTCCAGCCAGTTCTAATGCATCTGGAACGTCATTTTCATAGATACAGGGATTTCTGCAAGCCACACACAACCATCACATTACTTGACTGCACAATTACGAAGAGTATGATCCATAATTCTGGATAATGGTTTACACTCAACACTGTATGTCATTCTCACTCTCAATTTTAACAGTGGCAACATGTAACACACAACATTGACGAGCTCAACAAGAGTGATGCTGAACCCCAAAATGCCTATAATTATCTCGATATGGTATGTGGGGTTTAACATCCCAAAACCAGCAAATGATTATGAGAGACACCATATTGGAGAGCTCCGGGAATTTCGACCACCTGGGATTTTTTAACATGCACCCAAATCTGAGCACACGGGCCTACAGAATTTTCGTCTCCATCGAAAATGCAGCCGCCGCAGCCGGGATTCGATCCCGCGACATGCGGGTCAGCAGCCGAGTACCTTAGCCACTAGACCACCGCGGCGGGGCCCGCCTATAATTATCTCCACCATGCATAAGTAAACATCATTATATATGTTCTGCAAAAGTTCAGACCGATTAATACAAACAAATAGTCGTCATCAACATCATCCTGACTATGCCCCCTGCAGGGCGAAAACCTTTCCCATGTTGCGCCAAACAATGCAGCCTTCTGCGGCAATGTTATACTTACAAACTTCCAAATCTCATCAACCCACCTAACTTTCTGTCTCCCGCTGGTGTGTTTGCCTTCTCGAGGAATCGAGTCAGCTATCCCTACTGACCAAATTACTGTGTGCTACTTGCTGCTGCCCATGTTCATTTTTTTTTTTTTTAATCGACCGAGGTGTCCTCAGTCTCTTACAGAGCATTGGTTCAACACAGTGTCATGTGATATCACCACAAGCCCGGCACTATTCTTCTAAATCTTGCATTTCAGTACATATCCACAGACTTGACCTACCTCACGGCTGTTCTCACAGAGTGTGACATTAAAAGGTGCATCGGCATGTGGCCTGCCAGGCGTCTTGGCATCAGAGGGCAGCTGACCTGGCGGTGTAAAAAAAAATCAAGGGTTACTTTGAGCACGCGGGTTTTTGCAAAAAAGTATCTGAAGACTGCGGGGTGCACTGACTCTTTCAAGACCCCACAAAATGTGTCTCAGAGGGAAACATAAGATGTAATATGTATCACCGTAAGAACTTAATGACATTAGAAAAGAAAAAAAAAACTGATCAATTTCACACCATATACACATTTTCCATAGCGGACTTCCTTGCTGCATTGATTACTATACACTGTGTACTATACCATGTGGAGAAGTTCAGCCTTGAAACAACAACAGTATTTTCAGAGCTCTAACATAACTAGTTGAAAGGTTTCTGTGAAACATACTATGTTTTAAACAGTTTGCAGAAAAGCTTTTCTTCTGCTTTGTGGGCTAGAACTACATCACACAATCCAACAACTTGCTGGGTGTGCAAAACTGCTCCTAAAAACAAATGCATGAAAAATGGTGCTAGTAAGATAGCTATTGAGTGCATCTCAAGAGCTGACCAACTTTGATTCCTTGATTTCAACAACTATAGTGCATATAAAAAGTGCACAAGAAAAAATGCCTTATTCATACTGCATTGTTTGCAAAACTCACAGAACTAGTTTGTGAAGTACAGTTCAATGCAGTATGTACGTACAATATCATAATAATCGCTGGGGTTTTACAGGTCAAAATCACGATATGATTATGAGGCCCATCATGATTGCGAACTCCGGTATAATTACAACTAACTGGAGTTCATGATGCACATAAATCTAAGCACGCAGGGCTTTTCTGATTTTCACCCCAACCATTAGGCCTCCCCCTGAGGCTAGGATTCAAATCTGCCCCCTTGACCTTCACAGAGCAAGTCCCCTGCTAAGCCACCACGGCAGGCAGTATTCATAGTAAGAGGCTTGCACTTCCCTGTCTGAATGTGCAACAACACATCAATGGCAAAAACAAGTTTACTTCAATATAAAAAAAATGGCAGCATATCCACGGAGTGAATGATGGAGAGTGGGGCGAAGCATTCGTCCGTCCATGCGTACGTCTGTGTGACCGTCCATGCGTCTGTTTGTGCGCCCGTCCCTGCGTTCTTTCGTGCATCCGCCCCTGCGTCCGTTCATGCGTCCATCCATGTATCTGTTTGTGCGTCCGTTCGTTCATCTATTCAACACTCCAAGTCCCACCATCTCGCATCTTTTTATCATATATTCCCCATATAAAAGCACCGCCATCCAGCGGACATTCCAAGGACTAAACGAGAGGTGGCACACGCACACTTTCTTACGGCCTGCGCTTTGGGTCCACTTCCCACCTTTAACCACCTCGAGTTCATGGTACATTCTAGTTCACTGTATTCATGGCACTGCGACCAAACGCTCGCTAAACCTTTCGAAAACCAAGGAGGTTACGCCCAGCGAGTATGACGTAGGAACCTTTCCCTGTCAGATAGGGCTCAATTTACATGCCAATGGCTGCTAATGAGAAATGAGAGACAGGAGAATTCGGCTTTTACTTTCTTACGGCTTGCGCTTCGTATCTACTTCTCATTTTTAACCACCTTGAGTTCATTCATGGTATATACAAGTTCATTGTATTCATGGCACTGGGGCTCAACGCTCGCTAAACCTTTTTAAAGCTAAGGAGGTTACACCCAGCGAGTATAATGTAGCATCCCTTTCTTGTCCGATAGTGCTCAATGTACATGCCAATGGCTGCTAATGGGGATCGCAGCGTGCGCGTTGTCTAAAAGCCGAATTCTCATGTCTCTCATTCCCCATTAGCAGCCATTGGCATGTACATTGAGCACTATTTTTTATTGTTAAACAACGCACAGAAGAAATCTCTCACTGGCACCACCTTGAAGGTCAAGTGTTATACCTATTTCGGGTATGTGCCACTGGTGGTTACATACGAGGGACGCCCAAGCCACGCCATAAGGAGCTTCGCTCCTAAAAACCCTCCCGCTGTATCTGTAAAATTCAGCCAAGAGTTCTATATCCTAGTGAAACTTTTTACCACAAAACTTTGCAGAAGAAACACATTTCATTTCCTAGGCACATGAGAAAACATGAGCTTACCTGACTGAGATGGGTAGCGCACACCCATGTATGCTGCACCCAGGAACGCAAAGAAAAGGCTAGCAGCTAGAACCAGCACAAATGAGACCCACTGGTATCGGGGCTTTGGCTCTGCAAGAGCTGTATAGCCATTGCCCCTACTGGCCTCTGAAAAAAAGAGCAGGGCAACGTGCAATAAACACTTTGTAAGGAAATGGTGTACTAACGTTAGGTGAACTTTCAAAGCCCTTGAAAGGGGCTTTCTTGAAATTAACTTAAGGGGACACTGGAACTGCAATCATTCAGTGATCACGGGAATGATGGGTATTACATGAATTTGCCTAGTCTTCGTTTTGAACTTCTTGACACCGTTTTGAAGTTCGTGACCCAATTTGAATTGGTGATCCTAAAAGATTAAGATGGCAAAGCGTAACTGCCGAACATTTGCAGATTGTTATTCCGTGACGGAGTGGCTCCAAGCCAAGCGAAGCCAATTGAAGCATTAAGTATGAAAATTGGGCAAATTCATGTACGTACTACCCATCATTCCCATGCTCACAGAAGCGCCATGCATTGCAGCTCCCATATACACTAGCGCCAGAGCTGCCTCTACTGGATACATAGTTGCCAGCTTTTAGATCTGGAATTGCAAAAAATGCCAGCTCTACCATGACTGGATAGGGATGTTGGGGGTAGCCGGCGGATCTAGCCTTGCATAATTTGCAGGCAATTGCCTCGCCCGGTTTCCGCTTTGCTAATTGTGGCTAATGTCCTTTGTTTTTTAACTAAGCACGAGCAGGCTCTTAAAATAAAAATCGTGCATAGCGCAACGTAAGCCTGCATCCTTATGCTTATGACTGGAGGCGTGGCAACGTTAGGAAGAATAAAGGCCCGAAATATCTTCGCTGCAATAGTCCTTGCATGAGCATGGCTTGACCTCATGGCTTTTTACGGCATCCTGCTTATATGTACTACAAAAACTTTTTACCACAAGGCTTTGCTCATGAAACACTTTTCGTTGCCTAGACATATCTTTTATATTGAACGAAATGCACAGATGTTGCTAAAGGTTTTAAAACATGAAAAACTTTCCAAAGTTGCGGCAGACCTCTTTCGCACTTTCTAAGCACTGTATTTTAGCACAATAACATTCATAAGACTGCATGTGCAAGAGCAGAGAAAACCTTGTCACGACATCATAAGGTTATCAAAAATGAATATCAGTTGCAGATGCAATATAAAAGGCTCTAATGGTTAAGATAATGATTAGGACAAGGTAAGGCTACACATCAATAGTAGCATCCACAAAAAACATTTTGAAAAACCTTTCTTTGTTTTTCATATTTTGGATTGGAAGAGTGGCCTCCATACAAGGCAAGTCCTTTCTGTACAGTAAAATTGTACTCCATGAAGGGCGCACATACACGGACAAGCTGCAATTTTCCAACACTTCGATTCACACTTGAAAACTTTCCACTGTCTCTACCTAGCCTGAATGACTCTTGAGCGAGAGCATCAACATTACCAGGTTTGGCAGCAGTTCACTGGTATATGGCAGGGTTACTAAAAGCTGAGTTGGCAAGTCCCACATTAGCCCTTACAATGAGAGAGTAAGATTAACTTTGTAATAGTATGCATCTGCAATGACTTTTACAGAGCTCTGTCAAAGTACAATGGCAGTTTTTAGAGTCCCAAATGTGTTATGCAAGCAAAAGCTTAGTAATGATTACAGCCTTGAATATGTGAAAGGGAGCCTATATCTATATCTCTCAGCCTATGCAAGAAGGTGGTCTCCTTAGCATTCATCTGTGCAATACTACTGCTACTACTCTGGCAAAATGGAGCAGCAGGAGGAAAGTGATCTTACTGCACACAACTAGTTACCTAGTGCCATTCACATTCCCGCCTAATTGGTACATACAGATATGTCACTTCAATAGTACGAACTGTACCAACAAAAGCACATAGGCATGCTGTAGTTCTCACTTCAAACAATACATGGCCTAGTAACCTTTACAGCCTGCATCATGTTTTTTGCACACCTCACACACTCAGCTGGTAAACTCTTGCACAGGTCGCAGATGCGAGTGCTTTCTTGTAGGAACACATGGTAAACGATACAAGGGTAGGCGCCACAAAACCGTATAATTCAACATGCATCACCCAAACAAGCTGCACTCTCTTCACAGTTCAAGAAGCACAACAGCTGCTACATCACATGTTACCCATTTTGGTAACCGATGTCAGTGTGAAGAGTTCAAGATGAGGTTTCAAGTATCAATGTTAAAGTTACAATTGAGCCACTGAATGTAAACTTAGTTCGATGACATCCATTTAATTACTTCAAGCTAAGAAAAGAACCTAGACCTAACGTGGCCAAGTCAATGCAGTAACGATGCTACTTGTGCCAAATCATGTTAATAAGCAATGAATCATCAAGTGGTTTCAAAGAGATCCCCATTTGACAGCATCAGTTGAGCTGAACCTGCTTGATCAAGTAGTAATCATACACGTAATGTTCCTCCACAGGGATAAAAATTCTTGATTTGTGGGATATCGCTGTGGAGAACACCACGCTCTTGGAGTTAAGGGACACAGTAGACGCGGTGGAACGAACCAAAACAGCTCATATTTAACTGCTTTTAGATCGACGATATCGTCGTTCTAAATGTAGTTGAATAAATGTGCGTTGTTTTGGTTCGTTTCGACCGTGTCAACTGTGTCCATTCACTTCAAGAGCGTGGCGTTCTCCACTTCGAGACCACATCACTGGCTGCCCTAACGTGGAGCTCTTGGAGCAACGGACGACTGTTTTCGCAGTTCAGTGCAAGCTTTTGTATGAGTCAGGGTAGAGTGAGCCTAAAGGGACTTCCATTGCTAGCGTCGGCAGTGTGCTTTGTTGAGAGCGAGGAGATTGGTTGATGTGACGTGTTTGAACATGTCAGCACGTTAAGTTTTCTTGTTTTTTTTCTGCTCACAAGACTTTTTTTGTTATTGTTGTTATTTGTAAGAATGTTGTGAAGTTGTTACAAGAGCCATGCGGTCTGCATCCTGGGGTGAGCAAAGCTTAGAGCACGTGGATTATAGGCCAAGCCCGAAGCGAGTGAGTACTAAAGCCTCAGGGGTGAACCGATTTTCTGTAAATAGCTTCTTCTATATGTTTGGACTTAAGGAGTCTGGCGTCGTTGCTGCCTTGTCTTGCGGCTCAATGCCGGGGCGTCGTGACACTATCCCGGACAGTGGGCGCTGATCGCTCAGTAAGCTGCTGTGTGCGGCGAGCGAGTAGGGCAACCATACAGAGTAGACGTCACCTTGCGGCTGCCTTTTCTGCGCCTAAGCTGGGTGGATGCCGGTTGTTGTCTAGCGACTCATTAGGCCTAAGGCTTTGCGCAGCCGCCTGTCGCACGTGGCAAAACTAGGTGGATCATGGCGTTGAGGTGTTGCACCTTGCTTCCCTCCCTTTTTTTTTCATCTTGCGATGCACGAGTTAGGAAAAGCGACCTTTGTTTTATTTTAGCTGGGCGTCTTGGTCACCATTGGTGGATTAGCTAGCAGTACTGACCATCGTACCACGTGGGCGAGGAGCCCGAAGCTCCCTTCCCTATGCCCTACTGCATTGTTCCGTCGAGTGTTTTGGAATGTACACAGTGGGAGTGATGTAACCTGCGGCTGGTTGTCTTCTGCACATCAGCACCGCTGGCCGGGAATGAGGTCGTGAGGTCGGGCAATGGACATGCCTGGGACCTGCGCAACTGCCTGCAGTCCGGCGCCCTCGTGAGTGCTCATCACAAACAGAAGACGTGTCGGCGTGAGTGTCGGTTCCTTACACCGACGGCAACGTTGCCGTTGTGGGACCATTACTGAGGTGAGGTACTCGAGCTGGACAGTGCAGCACTGCCGACCGGCGGCGGTGTCGTAGTGCACGGACAACATTTAGGGACGTGTGTTGTCATCTTTTGTTACAGCTTGTGTAGCTGATTTCTTTCATGCTTTTTTTTTTTTTTCGGGATATGGTTTAAATTAAGGTTGGGGGATGTGGAGGTGCTATCATCTCTTTAAAGTTGTTTGAGCCTCGTGGCGCACGTGTTCCGTACATAAGCCGCATTTCGAGTTCACAACTATCGAGCTGTAGGTGGCGTTGTGCTTGCGAGCATTTGTTATCACCACCACCATCATCATCATGGTTAGATAGGTAGCGCCGGCAGTGACGCCTGGCAGGAAGCCTTGGTGGCGGTGCGAGAGAGATAAGCTGCCTTCTTTTGCGCGTGGCGTTAGGCGCGAGCGGTTGGCTCTAGCGGCGGATCTGCTGTAGACGACACCGCGGGTCATCTGCGGTGGGCCCTTGTGGTAAGACAGGCGTTGGGGAAACCACCTTGTGCCTGTTATGTTTTTGAGTGTTGTCGAACATTGTGTAAGGTTGTTTAACGTGTGGATCACAAATGATATTATAATAATTCGGCTGACGATATCGTCGTTCTCAAAGTAGTTAAATAAATGTATGTTGTTTTGGTTTGTTTCGACCGTGTCAACTGTGTCCGTTCACTCCAAGAGCATGGCATTCTCCACTTTGAGACCCCACAGATTCTAAGAATAGTTTTCCATTTTTACCTAAAATGTTCATTCTCACTAATAACAAAATGCAAAACTACAAAGCAACAACTAGCATGTGATGTGCAAACCTAAGAGTAAACAAACTGAAAGCTGTTACATTGCATCTAATGGCACAGCCAACCGCTATCACTTATCTGTGGAGAACAAACCACTTTTTGGTTTTGATTGATCTCAAAGAATGTTTTTGTGACACTTCGAGGCAAGCCTGCATTTTAACTATGCTGGAACACTCCTTACCACTCAGCACCACACTTCTCTACAATGGAAGGGGGGGGGGGGGAGTTAATGTTCCTGTACATCTTTTTTCACAGTCCCACGGTGCTACATATCCCTATATATTCATGCTAAATCATATGCACAGGGAGCGCTATTAGCATTACCAACCATGCTTGTAAAAGTATTCAAATGGGCATGTTGTCTGTGCTTTCAGCATATGACAGCCACGCCATACAGTAGTGGCCCTCTCACTCGGGACGAACATTCCACTCATTTTCTATACAACTGCTGCACACTGTATGGCACAGCTGTATGTGCATCGTGCGTTTATGCCACCGACAGTGAATTTCAAGGAACAACTTAACAGTGTCGAAAACATGAAAAGACGAAAAAGAATGGACACAACTGAAGCTTGTTATGTCTACTCTCTTTCATCTGTCTTCCTTTTCAGCACTGTGAAGTTGTTCAATGGCATCTTATAAACGTGCCCAAGCTTCTGTGCTTTTAAGCTTGCAATTTCGATAAGTCAGGTTTAAACCCTTTGACACACTTCGTACACAGCTGCGTACACCACTTGTTCTAGATATTTATATCAACTAGGGGCTGAAAAGCATGAGATGTATAGCTTTGGATGGTTTAAGCCTTCTGCATAACGAATTTCTCTTTCTTTAACTTTATTGTGAAGTTCAATGTTGCATAAAACATTGCTGAAGGCACTACCATGCTGAATGTGTCACTTTGTGCGAGCTATGTGAAAAGTATAAATTTGCTTTGCTCAAAATGGACACAACTAAAAATAAACTTGCACTATATTATGAGCCTGAGATTTCATTAGCCTATTTATGCAAAACAGAGCATCAGTGACTTCAGGATTGAGAGATGTTTCATTAAAACTTAATTAGGATTAGTTGCTATAACACACATAAATTAACACACTATGACCCTATTTTTGTTACAATAGAATAACGGGTGCCTTAAAACTGTTGCATCGATTTGGCATATTTACAAACAGGTCTTCATGAGTGGTGCTGGGACAGCGTATCGTTTTCACACATTTATAGACATTTGTTCATAGGTGGCGTACGATAGGGTTAATTTCATTGTAAGTGATTCAGAAACAAGTTTTACTAAGTTCTCCGAAAATGCAGCCTGAATAGAAATAGGTAGGCATATCCTGCAAACGTAAGCGAGCTACTCAATAACATCTGTGTATTCAATTTGCATAATTACGCGTGTGCCCGTTCAAAATCTTTTCATGAAACACGCATGCAATAAACTCACTATTTTGCAACGTTATAACTTCAGCTGCGCTAACCAGCGGTCTGTGCAGGTACTGCATCAAACCAGGTCGCTTTTCCCTGCAATGAACACGCACACAGTAATGCAACGGTAATGCAACGCTTCGTTTACGGGCCGCTTCGCACTGCGAAACCACCGAGCAGCCCTCACCGTCAGATTTGTGTACCAGAAGGCTGGTGCTGCTGCTGTTGTACGACGGCGGCGTCTGGGGCAGCTGGTAATGCGTCGTTCTAGAATAAAGCGGCGACGACTGTTGCGGCAGCTGGTAGTGCGGCCCCGAGGGCAGCGCATGTTCACTGTCCGTGTCCGAGAAGTCATCAGCGCGAGTAGTGTGCACAGTGCGACTACGCAAGCTGGGCCGCTCGAGCGGCGTAGCGGGTAGCGAACGCCGCGACGTCTTATCGGGGGCCGTCGGTGTCTTTTTGCGCGCCGGCACCGCGGACCTGCGGCGCGCGCTCCGTTGACCGGCGGCGGAGTCGTAGTCGCTGTCGTCGGAGCTTAGCGTGGCCAAATTTCGGTACGTTGACGACGAGGGACTGCCACTCCTCCGCGCGGTGGGGCTGCTCTTGGTGCCGTTCTGCTGAAGGTGTGACAGCCGTCGCTGGTACAAAGGGCGCGTAGTGTCTGTGATGGGGCCGACCTTTTCGCCGAATCCGCTCAACTTTTCGCGCAGATATTGGTCGTCCAGATCTTGCTGGGAGCGACGATAGTACGCCATGATCTTCGTCGCGCGCGCCCGCTTGACGCCGCCGGGCCTCCAATGGAACGGTCAGAAACAGCACGCGTTCGTCATGGCGCGCAACACCGCCGCTCTTGCGTGGGCGTCAGCTTAGCCGCCAGCCCTGACGCCACTCTGCCATCGATGAATGCAGATTTCGCCTTTCTTTGCTTTTGTTTTTTTTTCTTTCGGTTAAACCGAGTCTCCTGCACGCGAATACAGAGAGGCAGTATAGCGCTTATCTGTAGAAATACACGTCCGGTAAACAACAGCGGAAAAAGGAGACGGCCAACGTCTACTACCCGTCTATGGCTTGTTTTTATTGACTTTTGTCTTCGCTTGGGTTGCCAACATTGCACAAGCGAATCATGCTACGAACAGTTGAGACAGTGATCACATTGATCGAGCTGGTCTGCTTTCAGATAAAACGAGCCCACAGTACACTACTATCACTAGTACACTGTACCACAGTTAACCACAATTGACCACGATACAGTATTAGATGTAAAGTTGTCATATGGGTTCACTAGCAATCACGGTGCTAGCAATCTACAAGATATGCAATTTGGCTTCATTCAACTTCTTTCGCGGAGAACGGTCCATTTTCTTTTTGCTTTTCACCTACGACTGCGATTAGCCGTTTCGTAACAAAATGGCCATTTTTGGCCATTTCGCTTTGTAACGAAGTGACCAAACGAATTGGTTGTCGCTGTGTTAGCAGTTTTGAATATTCTCCAATTGTTTGTGGCATGCGCACACAATACATGAGTCATTTACGCATTCCACGGGCTCAAAACACAACAGGCTGAGCGATCGTACCTTCACTACTGTTTGTTTACCCAACGCCTCGTTTATACCGAACATGCGCGCGATGAAAGATGTCTGGCGCACGTCAACGAGCTGTTTAAACAGCTCGCAAATCATTGCGCTCCTAAGAAATGGAGTGGCAGGCTGCCCGAAATCACGGGGCGCTTAAAGTTTGCAGGAATTTTGAGCTCTTCGCGCTCTCTGAATCCCTGCAAGGTTGTGCGACGAAGCCACTTCAACAGGAGACGCTAATATCTAACATACTTTCAGTCGCGAAATTCTTTCCGCATAACCAAAAAACTATTTATGCCGAAAACTTACAGGTTACCCTCTCGTTCGTCCTAGAACTAACTTTTTCTTAGTATGCTAAAGTTAGTGAAAAACGTAATTGTTTATTTAGTTTATAGATGGCGCGTACATCTGGTAAAAACGTATTTTGGTTTTGTTATATGGCAACACATTGAACGGAGTTGGTACAACTATTTAGCTTTGGAGTCTTTCTTTGCAGTGAGCGCGCGCCGAGTTGGAAGCTGGGAAGACGCTGCTATATTTGTAGACGGTCCCCCGAGAAGAGTGAAAGTTGCCAAAATAAAGATGCCAGAGGAGCAACAGGACCGGAGTGAGGTGGACCCACGCCCAGTTCGGCGGCCGCGACGAAGATGGCGTCCCGCGAAAAAGCCAAAGGACAGCACGAAACCACCAAGAGTGGACGACTGCCGCGGAGATGGGTGGCCTGCTTCGTGCTGGCCATCATCCAGCTCATCATCGGATTGGGCCTCCTGGCCGTCGGTGCCGCGGACGTTGTCTTCACGCTAGACCACAAGTGCAAAGATCGCACGGGTGCCTCCTTCTTGCAGGCAAGTCGCGCGCTCCTTTTGTTGTCCGCGGTTTTCGATCGTGCAGCCACTTTCGCACGCGCGCGCGTGTTCAGGGGCGAGCTGTGCGCGGAAAGCGCCAGTGAGCGCCGTACAATCGGCCCAGCTCGAAGACTTTCTCCGCCAGCGTGGGAGTCGTCGTGCACAGCGTTTCGTCGTGAATGCGCGAAACATGGCCAGAAACACCGTCGGCGATCGCGTACTGCTGCTAGGGCTGTATTCGACATGTCGCGATTTCAGGCACCGTGGCTTTAGTTCTCGTATTGTGGTAGTGTGCTATCAAACAACAAAGTTTCATTACACACTGACACATAGGTGGGAGTTATTTGTGCCATCCATGTTTCACAAGTTTGATGAAATGTGAGTACGCACAATGGGTATCACGAAGTGAGCGCGATGTTTAGATACATGCCCAGTAATGAAAATGAGAGGATATTATATATAAAGTAAACTGTCCATAAAAGGATAGCCATCAGATTGTTTCATGTCCCCCAGTCACTTGAGTCAGCATTTAAAAATAATATAATCTTGGGGACGCGCGAATATTCGTGTTGTGAATTCGAATCTAATAGTACCTCATCAAATAGCACTTACTTTAGGTTTCAAATAATTCAAACACCACAAAGACCAATAGTGCAACTTGATTTGGTTGGAGTGGCTGTAACTAACAATAACATTGTTACAGCAGGTATTTCGTTAAAACTTTCACTGATATCGTGATTTAAAAGTGAGCCCACCTTTATTTTAACGTAGAATGTCGTTTACGCACATTAAGAAAACACTTGAGAGAGCAGTCAAGCCCGTTACAACTTTGCTACCAAGACGCTAGGTACATACAAAGGTATGCATGACTGTGAATGCACAAAGCATCACAAGATGTTGACACCCTCATACGGTAACCCTGCATTCCTACAACCCTTTGCGTATACCAATATACTGTACAAGCTAAAAGCCAATATGATTTTTCCACTGCAGTGACTCAGTTTTGTCTAAATAAAATATAATTTAGATACAGTTATCACAATTTAGTGGTTTGCACAAACGTAAAGTTACGTGTTTACAGATTTATGTAAATGTTTACGCACAGGGTGCTAAAGCTTTGCTAAATATTTTCAAAAACATGCGTTTCAGTAACACGGTGAACGTTATTCTAGTAACACGGTAACGTTATAAAGTATGCATACAAGTTAAAAGTCCTTAATGCCGTGTGAATGTGGTGTTGCCAGACACTCAAACAGCGTATGCCACTTGAGCTCCAGCAAATAAACCAATGTGACTTTCTACTGGGTGCTGCAAAACAAATCTCTACTCTCATAATGGCTGAGTGCCATGCCTGTGACCAGCGTTGCGAGCCACTGTCTTGTCAGGTTCCCCGCCGACCTCCATTGCAGCATGCCGGGCAAGCTTCGATGGGTGTGGTAGCTGCTGTGTCTCCGGCTACTTTTGCTCTGCTGTCGGCAGCTGTGCAATAAAGGTGGGCAACGCTGGGCAAGGCAAATGCCGCATGGAAAGGCCTGTTCAAGCGGGCAATTTGAAGTGCACTAACGCCGTGCGGGCCTTTGAAATGTAATTTTATTTCAAAATATACGTTCCCTTGACACAAAAGTAACACTGAGGTTTACGGGTGCTATTTCAGCATTCAATGACGACTTAATATTTGCTTTCAGTGTCCCTTTAAGCTTTGCTTCAACAGCTTGGTTCCAAAAATACATTCGTAAAGTTTCGTGGTAGTACTCTATGCCATTTACATTACTGTCATTCAATGGGACTTTTATTGAAAAGTGGTTGAAATACTGCCATCCAACAGGGCTGTTATTGAGCAGTGCTTGAAATGTGTCAATTTTCGCAGGGTGTCGTATGCGTTGTGTCTGGTGCCTTTGCCCTGGCAGCGTACTCACCGCGTCGAGTTAGAACACAGGGACACCCAAACCGAGTCCTAGTTGCAGTGCACGTTCTGCTGTCCTTTCTTGTGGCAGTTGTCAGCTTCAATGTCGTGACGTGCCTGGCCACTTACACCGGCGACAGGACTACAGGTATGTGTTACTTTCTTGTCTCGGAGCCCACATTTGCCACTTCCTTTACTGGACATATCCACTTCCTTTACTGATCGATAGGCATCAGAGAAGCAACTATGGAAAACAGCAGTGATGGAAGTGCTACTCCAAAAAATAAATGGTGTTCTGTGCTGCTCCAAACCTGCTGCAAAATAGAGCTGGGAAACTGAAAACAGTGAACTTCAATCGCATGACCATCGACCAAGCCTAAACGAAAATAAAAACTGGCTGTAACATTCTGGATATCTATATTTAAAGAAGTGTATGTTTTAGGGCTTATTTTTTCATGTTTCTGACACAAAAAATGAGATCTAACAGACAATAACTCCAAGGAAAGTATAGGGCAAGTTATTAGACCGAATTGTTATGTAAATGTGAAGAAAGAAAAGTGGGTGAAAAGATAACTTGCCGTGGGCAGGAACCGAACCTGCGACCATCGAATAACGCGTTCGATGCTCTGCCACTGAGCTACCACGGCGGCTATTCTCCCAGCCACTTTATCTGGTCTATATGTGAATTTAAACGTGGGAGTGTCAGTCAGCGCTTTCAGCTGCCATGGCAGCATGTGTAGCACACACTTTATGAGCCTGTGTGGCGTCACGTAGCACGTGAACTTATTACGAGCTGGCAGCTGACATATAGTCCCTCGTGTACACCTAAGGCACCAAGTCTGCCAGTACGAGACTATATATATATATATATCAGGCTATTTTTTTAAATATGTGTGAAATTACTTCAAAATCATAATAATTACTAACTGCTACTGTGATGTGTGACTGATTACATTTACCACTTTATTATCATTCTTAAGCTCATTTAGCTTATTTTAATTTTGAAGTTTTTAAGGCTGCCTGTGTTGGTGAAATGAAAATAACATACAACACCCGTACCAATTTTCACATGCTGCTTCAGCAATAGTTACATGTGGCTATGGCTGGTTTTGTAATTTGTTGTTCACCTTTACCACTTGTGTATGATATCTATCCCAACTATTGGCATTTCAAATATAGGTCGCTCATCTTATTTAGTGTTCATTGACCATCCATCTGCTTAATTATTTGTTTCACACTATTTCAAGTGATTATTGTATGTGCAATATGTTTGATTAGTATTCATATTTATAAAAAGCTTGGGTGACGCTTCAAACTCCAGGAGGCGTCTGGAATATTTTGCCATCTATTCCGAAAACATCAATAGTCGCTCCAAGCTAGTAGCATATTTTTCTGCTCCATAAACACTTATGGCTACTCCAAAGCACCTTTTTTCTGCTTCGGAATCTGCTCCAAAAATCAAGATCTCACTTCCATCACTGTAACAGCGACAAGTGCGGTACTAAGATCTCATGGTTTGTGTTGATGCGGACATGATGTAAAGACATACCACATTGCCACCTTCTATAGAATGCATTGTGCATTGTATGTCTCATGACACATATGCTGCAGCTGTGCTTCTCCTTTGCACTTACCCCCAAATACACTGTGCGAGTGGTTCTCAGCCACCGATCTTTGGGACCCCTTGTGGACCGGTTGAAGATGTGAGGGACTCCTTGCAGTAGGAAGGGGGGAGGGGATGTCATAAATTAGTGCTACATGCAGCGAGAAATACGTTCCTCACTTCCACTGCACTATTCCACTTAGTTGTTAACTCACGAAAAGGCTGTGACCTCTGAGATCCGTATTATATGCCATTTTGTGCGAACAATGTGCGCTTATCTCTAACTGCAGGCTTTTGTCGTGCTACGCATAAACTTGTTGAGCTTCTGTGTTGGAGGAACCGGTATAACATGTTTTATTATATTCTAACATTCACCAAAAAAAACTTGAGGACTGTGTTTTTGTTACTAAATAACAGCAAGAAACGTCTCGAAGAGATTGCACATGCAGGCATATATATTATATATATATTGTAACGCGGACTGAAAGAGCGAGGAGGAAGAAGAGATCGGACACTCTCGAGCGATGGTGATTCGGCAGTGACGGTAGAGCGCTGACATTTTTCAGTGTAAATAAACCCATCACATCCGTAACAGCTTTGGTGGAGGGGTGCTGGGGTGACTTTCCATCCTGGACCCCGCAGCAGAAGTTCTTCGAAGAAGCAGACGCTTAGCTGGCCTACCCCCAGACAACATCAGCATGAACGACGACACAGCAATCCCATTGACGTACTACGCTGCTGCATCCACCAGTGCCACCGACACGGCACAAGGTGGCTGTCAACCTCGACAACCGGACTACTGGGTACCTGAGCCACGAATATTCTCAGGTAAAACTGACGAAGACATGGACGCTTGGCTAAAAGACTTCGACAGAGTGAGCCGCTACTACGAATGGGGCGTACCGGCGAAGCTCGTGAACGTAGTATTCTTCCTTACCGGGACAGCCTTGCTTTGGTTTGAGAACCATGAACATGTCCTCCCCACTTGGGATATATTTGTTAAGGAACTGAAGGCCTGCTTTTGCGACACGAGTTCTATGAAGAAGAAAGCTGAGCAAACGCTGTCACGTAGGGCTCAGTTGCCCGGCGAAACGTGCACAACCTACATTGAAGAAATATTGAAGCTTTGCGGGATTGTCAACGCAAATATGTCTGACGAAGACAAAGTCGGTCATTTGTTAAAAGGCATCGCCGAGGACGTGTACAATTTTTCGGTAACGAAAGAAAACTTGAACACTCCTTCTATTTTCAGGCAGCAGTGTTGCGCATTTAAGGCGTTGAAGACCCGGAGAATTTTACCAAAGTTTGGGCGCTTGGACAATGTTCCCACTGTTGCAAGTATGGACGTCGCCACCTGCGAAGACATTCCCTTCCTCGTACGTCGGGTAGTTCGAGAAGAGCTCGTACGACTTCAAGCAGGTGACGTTCACCACCAATGCTCGTTCGCCGCATGCCCCGAACCACCTCCCTACTGGATGCGAGAGCGCCATGTCGAAAACCGACCACGCACAGAAACTGCAGATTTTACCTCGCGGTTTCCGTTTTCCCCGACGGGTCACGGCCACCACCGGATGTCATCATTTCGACGTGCTGCTGCGGACCTCCGACCCTCGTCAACCAGGCCTCTACCAGAAGATTACTATGCGCCATCACAAAATGTTCTTGCGGAGCACGACCTGTCTCCGCAGGACCCTTCTGCCACCTCTGCTCCTGCTAATGTTAGCCGACAAGTCCTTGTTTGCTACACATGCGGTCTCCCAGGGCATATTTCGCTTTTTTGTCCCAGACAGCAGCCTGCGCCGCCACGTTTTTCGACGAATCCGGCTCGTATGTACGAAACGTCTGTGCCGCCACGTTTTTTTCGACGTACCCGCCTCGTATGCACGAAACCTAGACCTCTCACCTGGCCAACCACTGTCCCCGACAGCAATGGCCTAACGAATTTCGCAGCGAGTCCCCCGCCTCCGAGCGAAGCCTGACGCCGCCTCTGACACTGTCCCGCCGGTCGCCGTCTCCGTGTTGTCGGTCACCTTCCCCGCATCAGCTGAAAACTAACTGGTGCGACCGATGGAGGTGCAGTCGCGGGACGGTCAGTTTCGCCAATTACTCCTTCTGCTGTGATGTTGATGAACAAAGTGCGTGTGTGTATAGACGGTGTAGATACTCTTGCTCTTGTGGACACTGGTGCTGCTGTTTCGGTTATGAGTCTTCGTTGCAAACATCGTTTCTTGGGTCACAAAGTTATGTTCGCGTGGAATCGTAAGGAAACTTTTCGTGGAGTTGGAGGCGAAGCGTTATACCCTGTTGGTATTTGTTCAGTTGTACTCACGATTGGTGGACAAAATTTCCGAGTTGAATTCACTGTACTGGCTCGCGCAACTCATGACGTCATTTTAGGGATAGACCTCCTTCATGATAGCGTTACGAGCACAACCATCAGCTTAGCGTTGTTCTAGATTGCGTCAAACAAGCTGGTCTCGTTTTAAACGCAAAGAAGTGTCATTTTGGGGAGCATCAAGCCCTTGTGCTTGGATATCTAGTCGACAGGGACGGTATACGGCCAGCCCCGCAAAAAATCAGTGCTGTCCGAGACTTCAAGCAACCAACGTCTGTGAAGGATCTCCGTAGCTTTGTGGGACTGTGTTCTTATTTTCGTCGGTTTATCAAAGACATCGCCCAGCTTGCTCATCCCCTGACAGAGTTGCTCCGCAAAAACGCCCCATTCCGATGGACCGTTGAGTGTGAGGCTGCTTTCGAGCAGCTGAAGTATTTGCTTACTTCCGGGCCTCACTTGCGCCATTTTGACACGGAAGCACTCACGGAACTGCATACAGATGCTAGTGGTATCGGTGTTGGTGTCGTGCTAGTGCAGTATCACGACAGCTGCCAGCACGTCGTGGCGTATGCAAGTCGTGCTTTGACTAAGGCGGAGAGGAATTGTACGGTCACCGAACTGGAATGTCTTGCAGTTGTTTTCGCCGTCCAAAGGTTCAGACCTTATTTGTACGGCCGGCAGTTCAAGATTGTCACAGATCATCATTCTCTTTGTTGGCTCGTCGGACTACGCGACCCAACTGGTCGGTTGGCTCGTTGGGCCTTACGGCTTCAAGAATATAACTTTTCTGTGACCTACAAGAGCGGTCGATGTCACGCAGATGCCGACTGCTTATCTCGTCTTCCATCTCCGGCTGTGGATGATGATTTCGACAACTACCTGGCCGCAATCTCATCCAACTGCCCAAATTTAGACGTCTTCCGTCACGAGCAACAGCGTGACCCTTCGCTGAAACCAATGATTGATGTGGCTTGTAGCTCTAAACGCATGATTCATGACGCCCTACTATATCGCAAGAATTACTCCAGCCATGGTTCCACACTACTCCTCGTCGTGCCAGAATGCCTGCGTCTTGCGGTATTCCAAGCCATGCACGATGACATCACGTTTGGGCACCTTGGATTTGCCCGAACGCTTCACTGTATCCGACAACGTTTTTACTGGCCTCGACTCTGGAAGACCACCAAGCACTACGTCGCAAATCGTGATGTCTGCCAATGCCACAAACAACCTACCCCACCATTGGCCGGCCCACTGCAGCCGGTTAAGCCACCGACATCACCATTCGAAAAGTCGGCATAGATTTAGTGGGCCCTTTCCCCAATTCTACCACCGGCTGCCGCTGGATTATTGTGTGCGTAGATTACCTCACGCGGTATACTGAAACGATGGCGGTTGCTTCAGCCACATCATCTGATGTGCCATGGTTTCTTCTGCACTCGATCATACACCGTCACGGGGCCTCTCGTGTGGTGATAAGTGATCGCGGCCGGCAGTTTACCGCTGACGTTTTTGAAGAGTTGCTACGGCTTTGTGGCTGTCAGTATCGCCATTCCACGCCATACCACCCTCAGACCAACGGCCTCACTGAGCGCACCAATCGTACCATCATCAACATGCTTTCGATGTACGTCGCAGCGGATCACAAGAACTGGGATGCCGTATTACCTTTTGTTACATACGCCTTTAATACGGCGAAACACGAAGTCACAGGTTATACGCCTTTCTTTCTTCTCTATGCTCGTCATCCCCAAGTTTCCTTGACACCATACTTTCTTTTTCGTCGAACGAAAACGCCGGTGTCGCGCCGAAGAAGCTCGTCGACTTGCTCGGCTCCGAACTCTTTCCGCCCACGCTTGCGCGAAAGACCGTTACAACGCACAACACCCGCCCCTGACTTTCGCTACAGGTGATTTGGTCTGGCTGTGGACGCCCGTTCGAAAGAAAGGACTTAGCCAGAAGTTTCTTTCTAAGTACTCAGGACCATTCGTCATTACTCACTGCCTAAGTGACATCACTTACGCTATGTCGCTGCTTGCGAGTGCTGCCAGGGTCGCAAACATCCTACTCTCCGTAAGGCTGGCCTGCTCCAACCTATCGACATTCTCCCGGAACCATTCTTCCGCGTCGGCCTCGACTTGCTCGGAGCCCCGCCGCAGTGGTCTAGTGGCTAAGGTCGCGGGTTCAAATCCCGGATGCGGCGGCTGCATTTCCAATGGAGGCGGAAATGTCGTAGGCCCGTGTGCTCAGATTTGGGTGCACGTTAAAGAACCCCAGGTGGTCGAAATTTCCGGAGCCCTCCACTACAGCGTCTCTCATAATCATATGATGGTTTTGGGACGTTAAACCATACTAATCAATCAATCGACTTGCTCGGACCTTTCCCAACGTCCGTGTCAGGCAACAAATGGATCGCTGTCGCATCAGACTATGCGACCAGGTATACTATAACTCGTGCCTTGCCAAGTAGCTGCGCTACAGACGTTGCAGACTTTCTACTGAATGACGTCATTCTGCGGCACGGGGCTCCCTTCTGACGGATCGTGGCCGCTGCTTCCTCGCAAAAGTTATAGACGAAATCCTCCGTAGCTGCTCTATCGAACATCACCTTACCACTGCCTACCATCCCCAGACCAACGGTCTCACAGAGCGCCACAACCGAACTCTTACAGACATGTTGTCCATGTACGTCTCTGCTGATCACCGTGACTGGGACGCAATGCTCCCCTACGTTACGTTTGCGTACGATTCATCAAGGCATGACACCGCCAGCTATTCTCCGTTCTTTCTTCTGTACGGCCGCAACCCTGCCTTGCCATTCGACACACTCCTTCCTTCTGATATACCGAACTAACGGTGTATGCTCAGGACGTTGCTTCTCGAGCCCGCGTTGCTCGCCAAATTGCGCACACTAGGCTCACTGCTTCTCAGGCCTCACAAAAAGTCCGCTACAATGACTGGCACCGCGACATTGACTACCCTGCTGACTCTCTCGTCCTACTTTAGACGCCGCATCGACGTGAAGGCTTGTGCGAGAAGCTTTTTCCACGATACACCGGGCCCTACAAAGTTCTCCGCAAGGTCACTAACGTCGACTACCTCATCACTCCCGTTGAACCACTTTCATCTTCTGCCACAACACCTACTGATGTTGTCCATGTGTTGCGACTAAAACGCTACTACACTGCCAGTCGTGATTGACTTAGCGGCACCGTGACAGCACTTCGTCCGCCGAGGGTGATATTACGAGGCAGTGGGCATGGCTCCGCCTCGTCGTAGACGCATCGTTGAAGAAGAAGCGGATTCGGCACGCGAGATCCTAGCAACCCTGAGGTGTCCACCTAGCTGTAAATATTGCAAATACACTCCTTTCTATCTTCCGTGTATTTGTAATCCCCGTAACAATATATATATATATATCCACTGGGCAACCTTTCAAAACAGTCCCCTCGGGATTGGCCCATACTTTTGGTAAAAGAAAAATGTGCGTGCTGACAGGTAAATGACCATGGCACCTGAAGAATGGTTAATGCTAGTTACTTAAAAAGTGCTCTGCAAGTTTTTCGCTTAATTAGCAAGAAAAATACCGGGCTTATGCTACCTATATTGGCAATGCTTTTCACAGGTTATGGTGAAATGTCAGTCTACGTTTGAAAACAAGTACTAGGAAAGTATTCCCATTTATGTTGTAAAGCACTGCTCAGCTTGACATTCATGAGTATGCCTTATTTATCGCTTATAACTCGCATGAAATGTACAGAAAATGCGGAGCCAAAGTCAAGGTGTGAATCATATGTGAATTTCGGTGGCTATGCTTTGTGGCGCTGCCTTATGATAACGCAAGGAAGGTAACTTCACAACAATTAGTGTTTCTTTTTTTTTTCTGTTTTATGAAGCTGAAACTTATGTGCAGTGGTGGAAAACATTTTATTACAGAAAATGTAGCAGAGAGTTGCGGCACATTGCATGTTTTGAGTGGCAATACCTTATTCCGGAATGCCAATCATAGTTAGCCGCTGCTCGAGCGTGCCTCACCAAGGAGCGTTGAGCATCTAAGGTCTAGCAGCCGAGCAGGTACTCCTCCCAAGCCTCTCTACTTGGGATGGGAAAAGGTGGTGAAAAATGAAGGGGTTGGTGGGACACAAAGTGACTACATGGTAGGTGTTGGCCAGGACCTGGCAGGTCGAGCAGGCACTACAGGCAAAAAATGCCTGGCGACCGCCGGACTGAGATAGGTGTTTGTGCAGAGCCGTCGTAGCATTCGCTCGTTTGCTTTCTCCAGACCGTGTGCGGGGTCTGGGTAGAGGTGGTGCGAAGCCTGGTAATAAGCAAGAATTTCGCGAAAGTGTGTCAGGTTCATATTGCCATATTCTGACTCTGGACATGGAGGGGCAACGGCCCGGATGAAAGAAGCGTGGGCAGTGGCATTCGCCGCCTCGTTGCCGGGCGGGCCCGAGTGGCCTGGGGTTCATACTGTATGATGGGAGTGAGGGTTAAAGCACCAAGAGGCTGCCCAAAGTAGGTGAGCTGCCAGCGGCGCGATGGAAGCCTGAAGGTATTGGGAACAGACCAGGCGCAAGTCCATCAGGATGGTGAGTGAAGTGGGATGCGAGGCGGCCAAAGCAATGGCAATTTCCTCAGCTTGCGTCACAGTGTTGGCCCTAAAGGAGAGTCCATCGACGTGTTTTCTCTCCGTGATCACGGCGGCTGTGAAGTGACTCGAGGGGGAGGGGCCGCGACGATTACGTCTAGAGCGATCAGAGTGTCGCGCCTGAAGCATGTGGAACGTGCTAGTCCCCGACCGGGATGTAGCTCGGGTTTTATGATGCGGAGTAATGGTACCACCCATAGTTTTTGCCGCCAAAGTTTCGGTATGGGCGTAGGAGTATTTTGGTCAGTGATCGCATTGAGGCCGAATGTGCAGTGGCAGTATATACGCAGGAAACTAAGGTATGCTCACTAAACAAAACTCCTAGTTTGTGTATTTTACATTTGAACCAGCACTGTGTTCTCATTTCCTTCACTACAAGGAGCGTTTGAGATGGCAAAGCTTCCGCAATAGGACACAGGTCATGTTTTCTGTTGCATTTCACAGTGTTGTTTATGCTTGCTTCTGTTCTAGAGATCATTTATTTGCTTATGTGGATTTCATTCTAAGAAAGCTTGGCTTTGTCTTGGCAGCCCTCTTTGCAGTTATCCTGTCCAAGGTGGTTCTGACTTACACATGCCATGTTTTGGGAGGTGTCTGTGCGGGCGTGGCAGTGCCCGACCTGTGCCGTAACGGTGCCGGCCTTGTCACATTTGACACGTTCCACAGGGATGTTGCTACCAAGCAGGTGGGTGCAATAGACCTCTTTCATAATCCTCAAGTGCGTTTCCCACCAGTGCGCTGCACATTCACCCAACTAATGGCGGCACATGTTTTGCTGCAAACTGAGGCTTGTCTCTTTAGTGTGCTTTTGTGAAGAGAGCTGAATCCATACATTTTGCGGCATAGTGTAATCAAATTCAGCACTTGGACACGCTGTTTGTAATAGGGGACAAGCTGCCATCAGTTGGGCTAACTGCACTGCAGGACATTTAGCTTCACCATTTCGAAAAGGCCTATGACAAGAAAATGTGTTTGCTGCGACAGAGTCAAAGAAACATGAACTACAGAAAGGCACAGTTTTATCTCTCTTATCTATCTCCACTGTCAGTCACATTGAATGAGAGTCAGAACAGTTTCGAATGCTCATTGAACTTGCTTGCCGCGTTCATCATCAGCCTGACTATGCCTACTGCACGGCAGAGGCCTCTCCCGCGATCTGGCAATCAACCAGGCCTTGTGCTTTCTGCTGCCACGTTATACAGATGAGCCCACATATAACGGCCCCATTTGAAACGAACGATATGTGCGTGACCGTGGAAATGTACATTATTGGCCCCATTTGAAACGAACGATATGTGCGTGACCGTGGAAATGTACATTATTTCAATGGCACAAAAACGCACTTACAATGAACGTTTCTGAGCGTCGCCGATCGGTTACAACGAATAATGTCGGTGCTCCGGCGACTTCCCAGGAAACCACTTTCGACCACCGATAAGCCATAATAAAGTTCTTCATACCATACCATACCGATAAGCCATCGGCAATGTGCTCATAGATTCTTATTGTTAAATACCAACCTTGTCAACCTCCGCAGCACCAACCGTTTTCTGTTACGCACCCCCTTCGTCCTTTGCCCCCCGGCTACTCTGAGCACCCAACATCATCAGACGATGCCAGTGTTTTCACACTGCCACTAATCTTTCCAAGACCGGTCGGCCAAGTACTCTCCCCTCAGTCTTGTTCCACTCGCCGGCCTGGAGTAACCAGACCATTTTCCAGCACTGTCGGCCATTGAATGTTCCAGACTTTCGGTGTCTGTGTCTTGTTTGGATCAATGTCATATCGCTTCAGTGCACGCGCTTGCGCTACCCACCGACTTCAATAATTCCCAATTCATTTTTTGTTTAAGACTTGTTCTCGTTCACACATGGCTCAGCATGCCCTCCGCACGCGTTCATAAGCATAAAACAGCTTTCACACGGAACAAATCGCGAATTATTAAAGTCAGCGGGGCTGCACCAAGTTCGCTGGCACCACAATGCAATTCTCTGACCTCTGTGCGCGCAGACCGCTCTCTCAAGTTTTTCCACGTGCGAGTTGTGTGTTTCGTTGGCCTTGCAATCAAGCTACCCGAGCTGCCTGCTTCTCGCGTGTCTTGGTTTTCAAGGTCGCCTTCTCGCTGTATGCTCCTCAGAGCAGTTCCACGCGTGCTGGATTCTATGTCGTGCAGTGCACGTCTTGCTCGTTGTTGGTGTGCATGTGTGGTTAGGATGACGTACGAGAAGCCTGCTGCACTTTTTTCTGCTGGCTCAACGAAACGTCGAAAATGTGATCGCTTGGCTTGGGTGTAATCCGCACATTCAAGGCTTATTATAGGTTCTGCTGTTGTGGAGCGCCTGCTCATATCTGTTGACCGCCCGGCAGCCAACTTGCCACTTCAGGTGGCCCTGTATTCGGCTGCGGAGGTTGCAAGGGCTTTTTGGGTGGCGGTGATGGCTACATGTGTGCGAAGCTGTTTTTGCGAGGCTGACTTCGTCGACGTCAGACCCAATGCCGAGCCTAAAGCTTCCGAACAGGACTAATCCGGTGTCGATTTGTGGCAGGGCGTCCACGACTCCGACATAGGAGGGCGTGTGGGACATCTGTTGCGATGATTTAATTACAGCCGATAATGATGCCAACGCTGTGGAACCGTGCACGAATTAGGGCATTGTGAATGGAGTGCACGGCAAGAGCGATTTGGAGGAATAGGATAGCAAGGATGACGAAACTTGTAGGACGACAAAACAAGCGTGCTTGTAGCGATTGGCTACATTGATAGATTCAGGCAGCTTGTAAATGCCACGAACTTTCGGCGAAGAACGCGCCGCGTCTTTAAACTCGAGACCATTCTTATATCTTTGGCTCTTCGAAACACCTGCATCACAGACTTTTTTGGGGGGGAAAGTGTGTGTTCTCACTTGCAACTCTTTTCAAACTTGTGCTTTTCATACACTACGAACTTCAGGATACAGCGAATGGATGTCGCGTCACACTCAGGTTCGTTATAGGCGGGCTCGACTGTGTACCTGCGAACTTTTTATTCTCATCAGACCACCTAACTTACTGTCTTCCCCTTGTGCGTTTGCCTTCTTTGGGAATCCAGTCAGTTGCCCTTAATGACAAGCAATTATCCTGCCTACGCACTACTTCCCAGCCCATGTCGGTTTCTTCTTCTTGATTTTGACTATGATATCCTCAACCCTGGTTCCCTAATGCCCTCTGATCTCTTATCTTTTAAGGTTACATGTTAACCTTAAGAGATAAGAACCATTCACCTTAAGCTTGCCACATTACCCTGCTCTAATTTCAGGTGCCACAAAACCAGGCTAGCAGTGCTCCTACGACTACAGCTGCCCCCAGCAGTGCAGCTGGACCAGTGCAGCTGCCTGAGGCACGCAGCCATGTCCAGGAGGCACCTGGCACTGGCGAGAAGCTCACGGTGGTCACTCTTCCAGAGGCCGATGTCATCTATGCCGTGCCCGAAAACAGCTACGTGGTGCGCCGCCAAGAAGGGTCGTACGTGGCTCCCCCCGGCAACAGCCGACTGGCACCATTTTTTCCCACCTACACTCGAGTTGCAATTGAATGACATCGTCTGTCGCAAGAGTCACATAGTACATTGAGGGCTGGTTGTGAAAACTAGCATCCTGATGAATACAGCCACCAAAAGTGTCCTCGTCCACTTTTCCCGCCTCTCAAACAGGCTTTAGTCGTTGTGGTCTTTGCAGGTCATAGAGTTTCCTATAAACACACTAGAGGAAACTCTGGTGTTAGTGTCTATGGGAGTTGCAATGCTCGGCACTTCAGCGAACATGGGAATGATGGGTAGCACACGGATTTGTCTAATCTTCGTCCTTCTCGCTTCATTACGGTTCGTGTGGTTTGAAGCTGTTTTGCTGCAACACGACAATCAGCAAATGTTGAGCTGTAGTTGCAATTCACCTCCTTCATCTTTTAAGCTTACCATTTCAAATCGGTCATAAGTTTCGAAAGGTTTTGCTCTTTTCTTTAAAGCAAAACTGAAACACTGCAATAAACGAAGTCACAAGTGCAATTCGAGGCCCACAAGTACGGAGACTAGGGAAACCCGTGTCTGAGCAGTCCCAGTGCCAGAGTCCACTTCATTTTAGTAAATTCTATGTTGCAGGTGGCTTACTTCGGAGACTTTTTGTGTTTGTGTTTCCTGTATGCTCTGCCGAAGATGTGGCACTGCTTTTGTCACTATTCATGTTGTGACTTGGCATAGACGTCACAGCCACATGAAGGTCATACAGGCTGTGTATACTCTACCAGTAGTTGACATCTGTGCTGTCTGATCTTCCCATCCCTTACAGCTGAAGCTCTGTTGCCTCTAGGTCCCGTTTTCCTCTTACTTCACCAACGATGTCAAAGCGAAATATGACAGTTAACTTATCTCCATGCTTTTGGTGCCGCTGATTCATCAAAAATGTCACATGCTAGTTTTCCACGTGGTAAAATCTTCTTGTGCTGGTTTGGATGTCTTCTGTATGTCTCTTGCCATCTTGTTCTTTGGGTCATATATTTTTCTTTTTTTGTGTTGCATTCACTCATCAGAAAATAGAGCGTAGTATTTGGAAAATTCTCATTGTACTAAGGATCCACTGCATAGAGGCAAAAAACTGAAAAACAAAGCGTGAAAGATTTCTAATGGTGTATTTAGATTACCACCAGCTCATATGCTTGAAGTATAGCAAATTTTAAAGCGTAACATGTTATACGAACTATCCCTTGTATTCTACCGAAAATCAAATCCTGCTGCGATTCAAAGCTGCTTACACTTCTTTTGAGTCAAAGAGAATGGAATTGACACATGCCTTTTGTCAGTTTTTAACTTTTGCACGGGTTAGTTGGGTCATGACAAATACACTAATTTTTCTTTTTAATATGTGCTATATATATTATTTGAATTCGCTTTGAACCTAAAATTTATAATTCGCACAAGCCTAGAAAAAACCTGTCTTGTTGACGCCCCACCCGTTAGAGTGCGCGGCCCTTAGCTGAGGCCAGGGACAGGTGGTACGTATTTCGTTTTCAGCATTGTTAGCTCTCTTGATCTCTGGCCCAGCTGTTAACTCCTCCAACTGGAAGCGGATGGTTATCAATGAGCTCCCGTGTGCAACAGCTGTATTCTTGGTGTGAGGCAGTGAAGCAGGCAGGACTGGTAGCTCTGAAGCATCAACTGCCATGAACATTTCTGGTGGACTTTTTTTGTGCTATTTTCAGCATTGGATTATGATTTGAAATGCCAGCTATGGTGTTGCTTGCACCATTCATAATACATCTCGGGCACTGTAGTGGTGAAGTCAGTACATGCATAAAATAGAGTGTTAGATAGAACTGCACCAAAAGTATATTGATAATACTTTCAACTTGTTAGTTCATTAAACCGTTGCTGTAGTGCATCTGCCTATGCAACAGAGTTGGGAGAGTAGTTTAGACTTGACCTAGATGATGAAGAAAAGTATGGGTGCACATCTCACTCATATTACTGTTTAATACTGTGCATATAATGCTATTTTCTTTTGCCACCTTGTAAGCTCATTTGCTGGGTGAAGAAAAGCCATAGCAAATGCAGTGCTTTTCTTGAAGACGTACTCGCACGCTACTTATGTTGGCTACTTAATTTTTGTTTTATATTGAGTCTGGATTGGTGAAATCTTGAGCCTAATCTTTTCTAGTGAATTCACCGTGCACATTGGTAGTTATATCGAGCAGTGTGTACTGCTTTTATTGCGATAGCAATTATATAGATACTCTCCACTGGATTTTGCCGCTGGCGTCGACGTGGGTGCTGCCATCACTCACTGTATATGTATACGTATCTATATATATGAAAACGCAAGAAAGAGAAAGAAACTGAGAAAGACTCCAGCACACAGAATCAAACGTTGAACCTCCGAGTCGTGGATGCGAGGTGTTAACCACTGAGCCACCACGAAGCACGTCCTTCAAAATTCAAATGGCAAGCTATTAATGTCTACCACTTACAGCTGGTGATAAGCATTTCGGGGGGGTGGGGGGAGGGGGGGGGGACTATCGTGTTTTCAGTATTGCCAACAAGATGGTGCAATGCGCTCACAACGGCGCATGTCTCGGAAGGGAAACTATCGCGTTTTTCGCATTACCAGCAAGATGGTGCAATGAGCGCGCAACGGCACGCGTTCGCATCTGCCACGCGTACTTTGCCCCTTGGAGTAGAGGTTAGATGCTCGCTCACGCACTCTTATCTCCCGGTGGGGACAATCGTACATCTCGGCTGGCATTGGGCCTTTGTTAGAATGTTTCTTTTTTTTACAACCGTTGCAGACACACTTCTTTCATAAATCTGTTTTCATGATTTTTTTTTTGCTGTCGGTTTGTTGGTTATTGTTTACATAATGTGCTTTCACAGTGTGCCTTCGTTTTTCGTGGTGCTATTGATGTTCCAACAAACTCTCTACTGTTTCACCTCAGCGCTGTATAAACCTCGTCTTCACGAATGTAGTGGTCCCACAAATCTAACACGTGGACAAAACTTTTGAAGACCTGGGGTTTTAAAAAAAAAGGACACATGGATGATAAAAATGCTACGTGACAACACATATCTTGAAGGCCATAGGCTTAAAAAAAGCTCTTTGGTTCATTGTATTCATGATCACAGCTTACAGCCTGCTTAAGTGATTGTGTTCTGCATCTAGGAATACATGTATAGCCTTCTACAGAAGTATCTAGGCTGCCGTGCGATTTCACTTTGTCTTGCGAGGGATCAGTGTGGTCCCTGCTGGACAGCAAGCCAAAGGCACTAGGACCGATTGAAAACACAAAGGAAGTCACTTTAGTAGCATATATAATCAGCCTTGTAGTTGCAGTAGGTAACGTAGCTGGCATAATTTTGACAAATACTGTGTAAAGAGCAGCGCAATGCTTAAAGGAGTCTCTAGGAGGTGCAGTATCAAGTTTATCAACAACGTTGCAGTATGAAGTTTATCGTAGTCGTACCTTAGTGAAGCATTGAATTGGGCAGCTTTATTATAACTACCATCACTGGACAGCACTGATGTAATGAACAAATTGAGCCATTGCTATTTTCAACCATGAGAATTCTATGTTTATGCTAGACCTCAGAAACATTTGCAAGGACCACAGTGTATGCGGACACAATGATGTGCCTTCAGGGTTTGGCCCTTGTGATGCCGTGCTTTTGTGAAGTTGGCCACCATGTTGTATTCCAGTCCTGTACCCTGTTATTTCCTTCACTTCCACTGCCATGACAAGCCAAATGATCCCTTGTGCCTTTTCGACGAGACAGCACTGTCAAAGAGCGTGGTTGACACAGTAAAATTGAATGCAGTAGCACACAGCTACACGAGAGTACTGAAAGTATTCAGGAATTGCATGTGTGTGTCCAGTATTTTTAAAGATATTTTTGTGAACTAGCTCTTTCTACGATGGTGTGGCCAGGGCAAAGCACTAGATATAGATTGTTTTGTTTGCATTGTATTTCAGAATTTTACAAAATACCGATTTCTCCTAAACAAATCTTGCCCACAGTTTTTAACTGCACAATTCAGTGCAATTGTGCTTTTCTTTGCCTGACACACATTTTTCACTCGCGACTGTACCTAGCAGACAAAAAAAGTCTTTCAGGAACCCAGTCAAAGCAGGTGTGTGGTATCATTTGTTTCAGGCTTCTTACATATTTCTGTTCCACACCATATTTATCATTACAAGGTGTGCATTGCCAGTTTGGACATGCTCACCTTGATTCTGTCATGAGACAGGCCCCGTTATCTTGCAGCATTGGCTTGGTATAAAATATATTTTTATCTGTTATACACATTAACAGGTGCTTATATACCTGTATTTGCACATGCCTAAAGTATTTAAGATTTTTTTTCTGGAAAATATTTGTAGTTCTTGTCAAGCTTAGGATCACAGGTTTTCCTTCGGTTATTCAGGGTTTATATGGTTCCTGTTTTACATAGCGCTGTCTTTTTAGTGCTTCTCTCTCCCACTGTATTCCTCTTGCTTTTTTAAAGAGCCAGACAGCCTGTTTTTAAGCAAAATGCTGTTTTCGCACGCCTGGTTAGTCGGCTAAACTGTGTTCTGCATCGCCTCAGTTTTGCATTTTTGTAATGGCCTGTCCTGCATGCCAGAAGAGCAATGAAATATGTCGTGCATGTTTGTACTATGTGTTTAGTCTGCTTTAGGATGCATGAAATAGGTGTGCTTTAAGTCCTATCCTAACAGAGCACTGTTTGTTGATGTAGCTGCATCATCTTACATGGCTATAGGTGTGTATACTTACGCTAGTGAAAATTGCAACTACTTAGTAACCCTCGCAGTTCTTGTATCCGACGAGTTCCATGTACCCATTAACTCAACAGCCGCATCAAGGTATGTGCGCAGTTTTGGAAGGTTGTGGCAGCTCAAACTGCACAGCCATAGGCTTTTTTCATCGGGTCTCATTTCATGCACCACAGAGGTGCAAGACATGCAGTTACAGCATTCGTCAAATCTACGTCGCAAAACACCAGATATATGGTGTGGTACTGCTCTTTTCTCTCAGTAGTAATTGCCATCTGCACTGTGTGGTGTCATCACATCCATTTATTAGGTACAGCACCATGCTGAAAGTCCAAGCACAACACTAAACCTTGCTCTCTCTCCAAATGCTTAGCCATCTTGTTGAAAGCGCCCAATTTTGTGGGCGAGTTGGGATAGTGTATCTCGATGCAGAATTACACAAATAATCAGAATGAGCAAGTGTACCTTTTTCGTTATTATAATTATTTTATGACTTCTGTGTAAATCTGCTCTGCAAGTCTATAATATAAGCAGTCGGGTAGCATCAATCTTGACAAAGGCGTCTCTCATAATCAAATGGTGGTTTTGGGGCGTTAAACCCCACAAATCAATCAATCAATCTTGATAAACTTGTCCAAGCTAGTTACTGGGCTCATTATGTCGCACACATCATATGCTGGAAAGCAGGACATTGTTGTATAGTGAATGCAGGCCTTTACATGTCCATATGAGCATTATGTTGTGCGACATCGCGTAATAACTACAAGCTGTGCAAGCCATCAAAGATGCATAACCAGACATGTACGCAGTGCTCTGTCCGGCCCAGGCCTTGTCTTGATCTGTCACAAGTGTGCACCAGCTGGCGAATGTGATAAATGTGTTAGGGGCTTTTTTTGTTAGTTTTTGGAAAACTTTGAGTTGACTTGCAAAGTCATGCCTCCTAACGTATCCAAAAACATTGCTGCAGCGCCGATAGATTGTCTACACTAGTACTTCTTGCTGCTTGAAGTAATTTATTGCTGATAAGCATTTGTCACAGAAGCTGAATTTGTGCTGTAGCGAAGTGACTCTGTACATGCGCCCTTGCTTTATCTTTATAATCAAAGCACCATGTATACTCACCTTGCAAGTACTCAGTTAAAAATGTACTTTATAAGGGAGCAAAATGTGAACAGCTCTACCCGCCTGAACAGTGCTTCATTTCACCTCAAATTTCATACAGTGGTACCAGATCACAGTGCGAAATCGAATAAACAAAATTGGTGTCAACGTTTGAGTGTTGCAAACAACATTTCAGCATTGCACAAGAGCATGTGCTTCTAGGTTGTTCACTTTCATTTTGCTTGGTGAGGCATTGCTACCGGTGTACAATTCCAATTTATTCTGAACGGAATGTTTGGGTAAGGCAGCCAGCCACTGTGTGAAACAAATTTCACTGTGACACACACCTCTATGAGGTTCGAGGGAACGTGATGATGGTTTTTGCCATGAGGAACTGTTCATAGTGGGCTT